CCCCCCCCCCCTCCCCTACTCTAGAAGATGATTATGCTAATTATCAGCTTGAGGGAACTCCCTCAATAATTATCAACATTAGAAAATTAATCGAAATTCTTTCCTCTAGAAAATAAGAAATTTATGAAAAATATATAATCAGTGGAAGAGTTCATCCAAGGTCATGTGCAACATAGTCATCCTCTAGAGCAACATGATTGCCATAATGGTAACCTAACCAGGCTCACCTGGAAATGGCCCGATTGCAGAAATACCATTTTGAAAAAATGAATGCTTCTCTCAAATAAATAAATATTTGGCAAAAATAATTTTTTTTGAGACTTTCAAACTCGAACCAAACAATCATTTTTTGGTAATTTTCAACTAACGATTTTGTTCGCCCAAACAAGACTTGCTTGAGAACTTGTTCGTTTTTCTCTCAGTGTAGATGAACTCTCGTCCGCTTCAGTGAGGCACAGGGTAAACCCCTGCCTACGGCCGAAAAAACCTTTCTAACTCATATGATTGCATGGTTTTACGGACGCGCAGGGTCAATCCCTGCCTCACGGCCGGAATAACAAAAAAATGTGCAAGATGAAAACAAACATCGAAGGGGACATGAATGACTCAATTCATGCAGTCCAATCATCGAATGAGGAAAGGTGGAATGACGTAATATGTAATACGCTGTTGCTTTATCAATGTGATGAATCTAATGCTTATTAAAGGAATTTATCCACCCTAGTTGAGTAATTAATATCATCAGATATTTATCCATTAGCATTATACCCTCCTAATCTTGTGACGACAGGTTTGATTTCTCCCGACGGGAGACTTATTCAATATTTTTTTATAGTATTTTTATCGTTATGTTTTGAATATTATTTCTTATTCAATAGGGGGTGGACATTTAACGTTTCACTTTTCGATGCCGACACGGAGAAAATTACTCAAACAGAGAATAAAATAAGCGGAAAATTTAAGGAGGAAATCCATCCTTTGTCTCAGGTTTTCCCTTGATTGCAAGTGAAAATCCCTGGAACCAAGGGGGTAATCGCTAAAAAAACATCTACTCCGAATTCATGCTTGAAATATTCCAAGGATTGATATATTTTTTAGATCTTAAGAGATTACAGAAAATATTTTGAGAATTTCATGATATTTCAGAAGATCTTTAGAAATTTATAGACAGGTCAAAGCATTTCGGAGGATTTCAACAAAATTTTTGAGAAAGTTCATTATAGTTTCAAGTTAATGCATCGGGATTTCAAATAAATTCAAATTTTTATGTGAAAATCAATGAAAACTGTAAATTTATTTGAAGATGTACTTTTACTAATTCGATTTTAACTCAAATATATGCTTATTATTCCATTAAAATAAATATCCTATGTCCTCATGATTATGATCCTACATTTCTGTTCAATGTTTCCATTAAAATAAAAAAAATCCGGAAAATTGAGGTGAAAATGTTCTTGAACTTCCAATTAATTGAAAATTGATCACAATTCCTTACTAATTATCAATGTTTTGATTGAAAGGTCAAGTAAGTTCAGGAATTTATCCAAATTTCATTGAACTTTCACTGCAATCTGAAATTTCATCACCTTTTCTCCCCAAATCAAAGTCAGTGTCACTCTCCTAAAAATTACTATTCAACTGTCCACGTAATTCCATTTTTCCTAACACTCTAAACCATCATTTCGACTTTCAAGTTTACACTGAAAGATTGAGATCTCGAGGTGTGCAATTCCCAGCGTAAAATGCCACACAATTTTTCAAAACCTAAACATGAAAGTGAGGAAAGTCCCAGTTACCCTCGTGGAAATGGAATTATGTGGTTGAAAATACCACTCCACCTGAAATCACGTCGCATTTAATTCATTGTTAATAGGTGGAAGGGAATCACCGCGAGTCTGTGATATATCACGAGCGCCAGAGTTAGTGTGGAAATATTCGCATCGTGGGGGTCCACGCATGTAGACTCCGAGAGTCATGTGTACAGTGCACGCCCCTGATTATCCCGGCGGGCTACCCAAGCCTCTCTCGATAATTGAAATAATTATCCTTCCGCGATTCTCGTGCGTTCTCCCTCGTAATCGATCCTTTCAATTCACCTTCCCTCTTTTTCTATCAATTTGAGATCAATTGATTCTTTTTCCCTTCCCAGTTTCTCAACGCATTGATTCCAACTGAGAGTATAATTACCGCATTATGTGTAATTAATAATTTATTTAATTGTAGGAGGGAGTAGCAGACACTTTACGGTTTGAGTAATACTCGTCTGATTGCTGAAACAATGAGTCAAAAAAATTCTATCGCGTATTTCTTCATATGCAAATTAAACTAACCATTCATGAGACTAACAGCTCATGCATCGGAGAGATCTGATACTGTTGGGCACTCCGAAAGGCATTAACACGTCATTATTTCCAATTACGTGACAAAATTATTGGGTCACAATCAGGGTTGCCAGATTTTGGCGGTTTATAGCCAAAACCTGTACAATTTTAAATGGGGTGACGTCACGATCTGGTAACACTGGTCACAATAGCTTCCGAAAACGACCTTGAGTATCAAATCCAAATAACCCATAACACCGAGTGTGTTCTACACTGGAAAAACCTCACGAGTGAAAGACACTCCACGATACCTTCTATACGATTTGGGGGGGATCAACCTCCCCCCATTAACTCTATCTCCCCCGTGCACGTTTCACCATTACAATTTCTCCCAGATAACTGACTCCCCGACAGACAGCGGTCTAGATTTACCATTAAAACGTGGGGTCGAAAATCTCCCATAAATACAACTCGCGCACCACTTCTTGGATTCAGTTGTCGTCCCTCCGTGTTACTGTGCGCTAATCAATCATGAATTTTTTCACACTTGTTATTTTTATCGTTACTGTGTGTCTCGAGCCTGTCTGGACATTGTCACTGGGACAGTATGGTGTTAGTGATTCAAAGGGAATAGGATGGGGCGCTAATTTTGGACGTGCACCCATACTGGAGAGGTACTCGTGGAATATGCTGGACTGGGCATATCCAGATCAATTGAGCCGCGACGCTGCTCTTGCAAGCGGTGACTATATACCCCAGAATGGACTTCCTGTCGGCATCGAAATCTGGCGGAACAAGCTCTTCGTTACCGTACCAAGGTGGAAGAATGGTCAGTCTCATTATCCAATCTAATTCTTCCCTTCTGTTTTTTTTTTCGCTTATTTCATTCTCTAATTCAAACATTTCGAGTGCGTGAACGCAGCAGAAAAACCCGGTATCCTCAGTGGTTGATTACGGATGCAGGAGAGCTGGGGGGGGGGGGGGGGGGGGGGGGGGGGGGNTGTTATGCTGAATGTAAAAAAATTGGGAAGGGTGGAGATGAGACGGTGAAGCGGAAATGGTCCTTCTTGGACCTTTCCTACCGTGTTTCATGTACTGAGGGGGTACGAACTCTTGAATCTCGTCTGGGAGACTTCCGGCTCTTGCGAGACGAAAGAGAAAAAAATGGATATACGAAGAAATGCCGAAAAAATTCTTGTCGCCCGGGTGAAACGAAATGAATGCCACCATCGCTGCGCTGTGAATTCGCCAATTCGTGTCGTGAATGGGGGTTTTATTCCACTCGAGGTGAATGTTTTTTTTATGTCGGTTCATCTTTTTTTCGGGGGCCGCCTGCAGTTTTTCTACCTTGTTTTTTTTTCGGGAGAAGTTTTTTTGGGCGATTTTTTTTTGGGTTATTGAATTTCTGATGCTGATTGATGGTGTGTGACGTTTCAAGTGAAATGTGAGGAGGAAATTTTTACAAATTCGAGCGAAAATCAGCATAAAATCTATGGAGCACGTTTGTGGAGGGGAATGAGGGGAAGAATGAGGTCATTCTCGTGAACTTTATTAGATTTTTCGGACGCAGGGAGAAATTTTGAGGATAAATTATCTGGAAAATCGAGGAGAATTTCACTGGCCGAAATATAATCGGGGAGGGAAATGTCATTTGATGAGAAATTTTGTGAATGAAGAAAATTGTATTTCGTTACGTGAAGAAATGATTCATATACAGCAAAATTTCCCACATGAGTTTTGCCTTTTTTCCACTTTCTGAAAAATAATAATTGAAGGCCTATTCATAATTTTTATTTTTGAATATTGAAGAAGGAATGCCAAATTAAAGAGAAATTTTGTGCTTTGTGAAGGGGCAAATATGACACCTGGTCAGGATCTTTGAGGCCCAGATACTCAAAATTTACTGTTAAATTACACATCAATTCCCAGAAATGACCGACTTATTTACGTTCTCTGGTTTAATTTTTGTTTAAATTCTGGATGAAATTTACCATCTCAGGGTACATTGCACTCTGGTAGAAAAAAATTGAAATTTCATGGACAGTTGTCTAGTAATTTACAGAAGAAAAACATGAATTTAAGGGGAAAAAGTCAGGAAATTTCAAATTTTACTGAAAATTCAATGAAATCTCAAATTTTTAGCAGCAGGATGACGGGGATTCCCCAATTTACTTGATTTTCCAACCAAAACATGAATATTCAATACTAAATTCTCCGGATTTTGCAATAAATTAAAAATGGAATATTCTATTCATTTGAATTTTCCTGATTTCTATTCATTTGCACGGAATAATTTAACTGAAAGGTAGGGGAGGGTCGGGCAAAAAGGACGTGTTCAGATCTTTTCCAATTGTCAATATCTTCATTTATAAGTGAAGATATTGACAATTAAAGAATATCACGAAACATCCCATTTCGCCCGACTCTCCGCTACTGTACCTTTTCTGTTTTCTGTGAATTTTCTGTAAAATCGGACCATTTTCTCGAATTTTCTAGGAAAATCGAGGATTTTCTAGGACTCCGACAGATAGTGCTGACCGTTAAGGGTGACTCCGCGAATGACCCCCAAAATGAAATTAAAGACGTCCACGTCGAAAAAGCCCAAAATGGAATTTCGTTGCATGACTTGAATGTTTGATCATTTATGTTTCATTTGGTTCCATGCACTCTCGCCTCGTGTGTAATGCAAGAAACGGTATTTGATGAGTCGTTTTAACAAAACTGTGGCAATTCTAATGAAACAATAAAAACACCGACGGGAAAATATTCCCATGTTCAACAATTTTCATGAATAACAAATTCTCAAGAATGAGATAATCCGAAGAAATGGCTCCGCTGTTGTGGGCGATAAGCATTACGATTGTATCGTCGGGCCGCCAGGAACAAGTTTTTTTCCACCAACAAGAACCCAACGTGTCCTCCAGTTACGTGACATTTTTTTACACCTGTGCATGTTGCCACCCTTTACGACTTTGTCCAAAGAAAAGGAACAACACCAATGAAAATTCTTTTTTCGGTTCATGGTGATGCTTGAGTATAAAAATAAACTGCTCTTAAAAACTTCTTGAGCGCCGGTACACTTCTGAGGGAAGCGTGGGTAGAAGAATCATACCCTCTGGGTGTAAATTAAGTTATCAGGTGCAATTTATGCATTCATTCTACATAAACCGATGAAAAATACTCCGCTTTATTCCTCAATTTTCGTAATAACCGTACGAAAAAAAATCATAGAAAAAGTCAGCGCATTTTTTCTCAATAGAAAACATTTTATCGAAAAAACCAATAGAATTTGTTTTTGCTACACAACTTAATCGACTGGAATATTTTCTACAGGAATTCCTCGATCTAAATTCTCCAAGTTTTTTAATTTGATTTTTGTCGTGAGAGGACAAAAAATTCACTGAAAAAAATTAGGGAATTTATGTTGAGGAATTTTCGTAGAAAATATATGGGTAGAATGTTTTACAAAAAAAAATTCTAGTGATTTTTTCTATTGAATAATTTCTATTATATTGACCATTTTTTCGTAACGAGGAAAACGTTTGCAAAGAAAGTACCATGGAAATGACGTAAAAATGACATTGTTCAATGTAAATTTAATGCATCGCTACTGATTCACAGAAAGTGTCAAGTAAAAATTCCTAAAAGAGCATTTACCTCACTTTTACGTTTTATCCCGTAATTTTTCTCAAAGTTTTTTCTCCGCATCGAAAAAAAAAATACGCAAAACGGCTGTGAACTTTTCCAAAAGCATTGGCGAAAATCTAAAAGAATTTCCAAGAGAAATCCAATAGAAATTTCCAACGGATGTACCAGCTTTTCCCATACAATCAATGCTAACGAATTGATTTTACGACGGTCAATACTGTAATAAATCTGCACTCTCTATACGAGTTTTTCGTGAGTGTATACTTTTCCGAATTGAAAAAACTAAGCAGAACTCCAATTTTATCTTCACTTGGAACCAAAAATTAATTAAGCTATTCCCACAAACAAATCCAATTCTCCCCAAATAATTAACAAAATTCCAATTCCAGAAACAATTAGGATAATTACAGTATTATCTAGTCTCTCGCAAGACCCAAATTTATCCAATTACCAGGTAACTTTGTTTCCAGTTAAATGAATCCATTAAACCAGCCTCAGAAACATGAGAATGTGTTAATGCATACGTTCCGATGACGCATAGATCCTTAAAAATTTAATGATCATTAAATACACGTGTAGAAACAAGTTTATTCGATTGAGATGTGACATTTACCATCGAAAGAAAATGTCTGTATCCGGTATGAACATCAATTGATGTTCATGCCCAAGCAGCCAATGTCAAAAATTCTTTAAAACAGGATTGACGTAATTTAGGATTACCAATAAAATGAACTTTATGACACCAGTATTTCATGGTGAGACATAAAAAAACCGATACAAAAGGTGTAAACTGCTGCAGGTATACCGGCAACCTTGAATTACATATCACTGGATACCAATCGTGGTGGATCACCAAAGCTATCACCCTATCCAAACTGGGCGCAGAACAAAGCTGGTGATTGTGGTAGTGGCCTTACAACAGCGTACAGGTGAGAGAATTATATGCAAATATGTGTTGATTAAACGATATGAGATATGGAATACTATAGGAGCACTTGTAACCTCTGCTCCAGTGTTGTTAATTTGATTTTATGACCTATTTGTTCATGTTACAGAATTCATGCGGACGAGTGCGACAGACTTTGGGTGCTGGACACTGGCACCATTGGCATTGGGAATACTACTGTGCAGGCTTGTCCATATACGCTTAATGTATTTGATCTCACCACTGACAAGATACTCAGGCAGTACAGGCTGCGACCAGATGATATTAATATGGTATGGCCGGGCGATTTTTACATGAATAATTGGTTGATAAAGTTAGTGGGGCGATTCCAAGTAATATCTGCTCGAAGAAAGGAAGATTCAGTGTGGGTTGAGACCATTTTGAAAGGATTTAATTAACTCGCGGGGAGTGGAGACAGTGATAACAATAACATTAAATTGTTCGATGGTGGGATTTCTCTCGAATAGGAAAAATCCTTGATTCAAAGTTTTATGAAGTGGTTGAGTCATGAAATTTTACCTGACATTTGAAACTTGTCGTTTAAGGGGGTACGTCGGTGAAATTCAAACGTCTTCATTGGGCCTTGGGGCCCATTGAGCAGTTTGTGATATGTGACGGAATATGGGAATAACTAGGGAAAATGACGGACCCAATCGATTTTGCCCCGGATAACCACGAAAAACTTAATTTTTTCCTGTTTTTACTTTCAAATGCTCCTTGCGCGGTAGTTTTCATATACGATTTTAGCTTTTTTTTTAATGTTCGTTACACTCCAAAGAATAACGTTAAGCATCCGTTTCACTTTATTCGCAATAGATCATGAATAAATGAATTTTGAATTTCATAAATTTTACGTTGGGTCTAATGCCGGCGATCTTCGCGAGAAATCGCGAAGTTCACATTTCGCGTCAAATCGCGATGTTAACATCATTGTGGGTAATCATATGTAAGGTAAAATTGAAGTCTAAACTTGTCTCAAGGAAGGGGACGGTGGAAACCCCAATCGTACACTGATAGAATGATTCATTTATTCCAAACGAAATTCGTTAACTATTAACGAATAGTAGAGTTGAATATGACCAAATGAATATTCGTTAATAGTTAACGAATGGGTCACTTGAATGGCGAAAGTCAAGTCAAACAAGATTCCTCAAATATACCTTCGTTAACTATTAACGAATGAACATTTGGTGGGACCGAATAGACCTTAACCTCCAACCAAAATCCATTCGTTAACAATAACTAATCCGTTCTATCAGTGTATGGGTCTTTTTCAAATGCCGGCGATCTTCACGAGAAATCGCGAAGTTTACATTTTGCATCAAATCGCGATGTTACCATCGTTGTGGGTAATCATATGTAAGTTGAAATTCATGTTTAACTTTGTCTCAAGGAAGGGGACGGTGGAAACCCCAATCCTATGGGTCATTTCCAAACGCCGGCCATCTTCACGAAAAATCGCGAAGTTCACATTTCGCATCAAATCGCGATGTTAACATCGTCGTGGGTAACCATATGTCAGTTGAAATTCAAGTTTAGCTTTCTCTCAAGAAAGGGGACGGTGGAAACCCCAATCGTATGGGTCATTTCCAAATGCCGGCGATCTTCACGAGAAATCGCGAAGTTTACATTTCGCGTCAAATCGCGATGTTAACATGGTCGTGAGTAATCAAGGTAAGTTGAAATTCAAGTTTTACTTTGTCTCAAGGAAGGGGACGATGGAAACCCTAATCCTATGAGTCATTTCAAAACGCCAGCCATCTTCACGAAAAATCGCGAAGTTCACATTTCGCGTCAAATCGCGATGTTACCATCGTTGTGGATAATCATATGCAAGTTGAAAGTCAGGTTTAACTTTGTCTCAAGGAAGGGGATGGTGGAAACCCCAATCCTATGGGTCATTTCCAAACGCCAGCGATCTTCGGAAGTCATCGCGAAGTTAAAATTTCGTGTCAAATCACGATGTTAACATCGTCGTGGGTAATCATATGTCGGTTGAAATTCAAGTTTAGCTTTGTCTCAAAGAAGGGGACGGTGGAAACCCCAATCGTATGGATTATTTCCAAATACCGGCGATCTTCACAAGAGTTTTATCTCAAGGTAGATTTGAGAAGAAGCTTATATAGTATATTTCGTCACTAGGCCGAAATATACTACATTATCCCTCGCCTTCGGCTCGGGCTGCAAACTCATATTCGCTAGAAAAGTTTTTTTCGGCCTAATGACGAAATATACTATTGTATCATGATGGCCGTAGGCAGAGATTCACGGGCGCGGAGCGGAGCAGAAATTCACGGACGCAGAGCGTCCGTGAAACGCTGCCTTACGGCCGGAATGACAAAAAAATTTTTATGCCACTCATGCCTGAAACCGGCCGGATTACACACTCGACGCTTCGCGTCTCGTGTCTAATTCAGCCGGTTTCAGGCTTCGTGACATAAAATTTTGTTCAGTACTTGTGGGGAAATTTCATCCTTAACGTGTGTGGTTACATCACTCGCCTTCGGCTCATGCTGTAAACCCCACACACGTTAAAGACGAAATTGCCCCACACGTGCTGAAATATACTATTATTACCGCTGAAGATTCCGGTAAATTGATGAATATTTGAAAAATACAATGAATAAAGAAATTATACAACTTATTCGAATTTTCAATAAATTAAAAATTCGTGAATATATTCACCGGTGTGTTTCCAATTTTGACTAATTTTCACTGAAAAAATGAACTGAAATTCGCAGTTTCCATTGATTATTGGGGTTCTTCTATCTAATTGGGATTGGGAAAAAAAATAGAGATGAAAATACTCACCAATGTAGCGGAAATTACCTGTAATGTTATAAAATCACAGCAAGACTTCGTTTTTTTTTCAATAATTAGACATGAATACTCATCGCTTCTGGGATCCAGAGTTCCTTCATTATAATTTTCGCCATATAACCATTTAATGAAGTAAGCAAACAGATTTAATCCGATATCTTGTCTCGTCGAAAAAGGATAATTAATTACGTGCTGCGACCATTTTAAGAGAATTTAATTAACTCGAAGAAATGGAGATGATAATAACAATTGTAATTAGATTAACTCATTCGATATTGCGGATTACTTTTTTTATTGAAAATGCAATCGGTTATAAATAATGATGATGACGATGTACATTGAGAGGGGGAATTTCACCTTCACGCACGTCTCTCGTTCTCTCCAGAACACTTTCATCGCGAATATTGCTGTGGATCTGGGCAAAGGCGGCTGCGACGATGCTTTCGCCTACATGTCAGACGAACTGGGCTACGGTCTAATAGTCTACTCCTGGGAAAATAACACGTCTTGGCGAGTCACGCACAGCTACTTCATGCCGGATCCACTCGCTGGTGATTACAACATTGGCGGGCTCAACTTCCAGTGGGGTGAAGAGGGCATATTCGGAATGAGTTTATCCCCTATCGCTTTGGATGGCTTCAGAACACTCTTCTTTCATCCTTTGAGCAGCAATCGAGAGTTTGCAGTGTCCACAAGAATTTTGAGGGATCCAGATCTTGCTCTTGATAGCTATCATGAATTCCAGGTAATTTCTCCTATTTCGTCAATTTATTTATTAATAAATTCGACAAATCTATTGTTTATGATGTAAAACCATATTTGAACTTCTCCTAATAAAACAACGGTATTCCAATTTTCTTTTTAAAACAAGGGTATCTCAGAGTTCGCGTTAAGACTAGGGTATTTCAAAATACATGTGAAAGCTTGTTGTTCATATCCATTTCTAAGTCTCATGAAGCTCGCAAATCATTTTATTTCTGTTCCAATGTCAATTACTTCATGTTATTTGTACTTTTTGATACATTCATAGGGTAGGGTAGGGCAAAACGGACTAGGCGGGCAAAATGGACCGCAGGGCAAAACGGACCATTGACAGAAAATTGATTATTTTTTTATTTTTTTGATAGTTTTTGTTAGCTAGTTCAAAAGTTTTGGTTAGTTCGTTCAAAAATTCAAAATCATTTGTGGTTTGAGATGATTAGCAAATCTGATCAAATTGCGGTTCAACGACACTTTTTCTTTATAAAACCCCCGTGACGGTTATGAAACTCTCCTGAAACTCTCTTTTAATTCAACACATTCAGTGTTCCTGATATGACAGAAAGAAAAAAAAACAAACATGACCAATTTTCTGTCAGTGGTCCGTTTTGCCCTAGGGGTCTGTTTTGCCCTACCCTCCCCTACTATTTATACAGCTATCAAGAGAAGGAAAACGTGAGATTTCAGATGATTTTTCATATGAATTTTGAGATACCCTTGTTTTGAAAAGAAAATTGAAATACCCTTGTTTTATTAGATGTCGATGTTTATACAATAATTCCGACCGTAAGGAAGCGCTTCACAGACGCTACGCGTTCGTGAATCGCAGCCTACGACCGTTGACAAAAAAATATTGTTCGTCACACGACAAAAAGAGTAGAAATTAAAAAAAAATAATGTGATTTTCACTACGGTTATTGTTTTTTTACGAGAGTTTTATTCAAAATGTCTGAGAGACATTAGCTTCTCATTATGTAATATGATCACTAAAATTCAGGGGTGAAAAAAATTCCCAGCTATGAACATTGTTCTCAATTTAAAACATGTTTTTCACCAAAAAAATATAGACTTGATTTAAAGAATAGTCCTCTATGAATACTTATCGATTTCAGCCCCTTGCTGAGAGATTCATGGGCCATTCAACATCGGAAGTGATGGACGAGAATGGCCTTCAAATATTCAATCTCGTCGATCAGAATGCCGTTGGCTGCTGGAACTCCCTCTTACCCTATTCCCCAGCTAATCATGCGCTAATAGCACGACACGACGAGGCACTCATCTTCCCAGCTGACGTCAAGGTAAGTCAATCGAATCAATCAATACCAAAAAACCCCATCACAAATCTCTTAACTCTATTGTTTCCTCCTCTGATTTGTGAATCAAATTCCAGATACGACGGGGAATGGTCTGGATAATCTCCGACAGAATGCCCAATTTCCTCCTAGCTTCCCTGAACTACACAGACATCAACTTCAGAATACTTACAATGCCGCTGTCAGCAGCTATTGCCGGAACCGTCTGCGATCACTCTCCGTGGAGATTCATAGGGAATAATGCGCTCTGGTGGGACCGACGATGATAAAATCAGTCTTGAGGGCTGCGTGAATGCTTAATCGCAATTTGTAATGCACTGTGAGAAGAACAACCTAATATCACAAAACTAAATTCTTGAGCCAGATATATCATCTCCGACTAACAAACGCTTGGGACGAAAATTCGGTTGAATTCCTAGTCGAAAAATTTGGTCCGCTTTTGGCCTGATTGTTCCAGGGATAGTTTCAGCAATATTGAAATTTCAGCAATATTGAAAGCCAAAACCGCAGTTTGTGCCAGTACCCAATCCCTAAAAATTCTATTTTTTATTCTCAAGTACACCAGATCTTCCCTTTTCAACATTTATAGATGAATAATTCATTTGTTTATAAATGAAATGTTGTTCCCTATGAGATTCCATCTGGAAACTCCCTATGAGAATGTCCTACAGACTATCTCTGGACGATTTTTATATATCCGCGCTCGCACGAATGAAAATGTAGAACCTCATTGTATTTTCATTTTACAATTTCCCCCCTAGAATGAATTCAATGTCACTCTTCTGAAAACTACTAGTCAACTGTCCATGAAATTTCATTTTTTTTCAAACATTGTATAATCTCGTTTTGAGATAAAAATGCCAACTCCCGAAGTAGCGACAGTAGTGGTCACACGGCTAGCGTGGGGTTCCGGTGGTCGTCCAAGTTGAGCAGCGTTTACTATGGATATTACTTGGATGGGTGACCGCTGAGCTCCACCTACTCGTGTGGAACTGCTGCCGCCAGGCGCGAATGTGGAGAACTACTGTGCTCATCTAGCCAGTGTGACGAATGGGCATAGTATCACTGATAGAACGGATTAGTTATTGTTAACGAATGGATTTTGATTGGAGGTTAGGGTCTATTCGGTCTCACCAAATGTTCATTCGTTAATAGTTAACGAATGTATATTTGAGGAGCCTTGTTTGACTTGACTTTCGCCATTCAAGTGAACCATTCGTTAACTATTAACGAATATTCATTTGGTCATATTCAACTCTACTATTCGTTAATAGTTAACAAATCTCGTTTGGAATAAATGAATCATTCTATCAGTGGGATCCTATAGGACCCTGCAATCGGCTGGATGTACGATTGGGCTTTTCCATGGTTTCCCGTGCAGTTCTAACCGAATAACGAATGGGGTGCAGTTGATAAGAGTACGACGACCCAGGTTAACGCAGATAAATAAAAAGAGAGAAGTCGGAGAGGCAAGACAGACGAATGGGGAGCCTATAAAACCGTAACGGTAGTAAGAAAAAAATACGAATAAAAAAACACCAACTCCCAAGAAGCCCAGATTTCTTGTTCAAAGTCTATCATAAATTGATCGAATTCATATACGTGCTATTTTCTTAGCTCAAGAAATCATTTTTGTGATATTAGATCGTTTTTCTCTCAGTGTACAACTCTAGGGGATGTAGCCGACCTGTTATTTAACCATGCTTCCGCGCAGGTGATAATTTAAAAAAACTAATAATGTTCCCAACCGTAGTTAGAGAATTTATTCAAAAATTACATTTCCTCCAAAAAAATCATGTATCAACACCCATCAACTGCAGTTGCGTAAATATTGATCGGCGCGACGTCGAACAATGTACCCGAGAATAATGATTTTTGGTCAAGCGAAGAAGAAAAATGTTTACGACAGTCATTCAAGTGTACAACATCTCTTTCCTGTTCCTCGACACTGCAATGCCAAAACTCACGTGTGTTCTTATTTAAAAGTCAAAGCCACCGTTTTTTTCCTGGCCCACTGAATATTGACACAGTAGCACTCTTTGACATGACTCACAAAGTAAAAAAAAGTGGTCAGGCAGAGCCTGAAGATATCTAAATACAATTGGTCGTTTACAACAGGTTCTTATGCCGCCTCAACTCCAGAACTCCCGTATTCACAGTGTGTATTATCCTTTAACAGATTCAAATTCCCTCGAATTCTTCTCTCCGTCTCCCTCATTTCCTCATCCCTCTCTTCTTCTCACCTTTCTTTATACACTCCAAAGTTGGCGTTAGGATATAGTTAACACTGCAGTTGCCCAGGTGCTTTACAAATCCTCCGATTTACGTTGGTTTCGTGCCTTAGAAAAGAAATGGCCACACTCCACTTCATCAATAATTCATGAAAATTTGCACGAGAGAGACACCACTAGAAATAACAATGTCTCAACATTCCCACCCGTCCCCCCACCATTGCCAAAGGATGTGCACAATTGGTGGAATATTTATGATATTTTAAATGACCTCAAAATAGCGTTTGATAATTCTTATTGAGAGCCGTCTTGGGGGCGGCAAATGGATGACTCCTTCTAACCCAATTTCCATCGTTTAGCGATCATGAAAGCGCCCGACCGGCCTATTTGGCCGCCATGAATCAGAGCAGAAGCCAGATGGTTGAGGAAGACAGCTCCCGCAACCTCCAAAAAAAAACACCTCTCCCAATACCCTTTTCCCTTGTTTTAACGATAATTCGATGATAACCCCCGGGATAATCGCCATCTGATATATTACTTTCCCTGTGCAAAATTGCCCGTTTCACGCCCACACAGGGGTGTTATGATAAAATATATTGCCACGTGCTAAGTAGCCCAGCCTCGTTCCACCCCAACTTTGGGTCAAAAATATTGGTAATTTTTTCCTTCTATTTAGCATCGAGCGAAAATATTCCGAGAATTCGGGTATCCGATTTGAAATCGCTCGTTTCGGAAGGCCATTCTCGTTACGTGGCTTAATATTAAAGAGGTAGGGATACCTCGAGGATTTTTGGTAGATGTTTCTCGATATTCATCGTCAGATACGCGGGTGAATGAGCCGCGTATAAACTTCTACGATAGTGTTGCTTTTAGGCGGAGTTTTCGGGGGCTTTTGAGGTGCCGGCTAAAGTGTTTTTCAAGGGCTCATTGGAGTGGGAGAAGATCGGAGAGCAGATTCACGCCTTAAATGCTAATTTCTACGCATATCGATCGTGAATGTTTCGAGGGTTGGCCCTTCTACGAATGGCTACTAGTGAATGTCTCTGGATCAGAGGAGGAAGAGAAATAAATTCTCTGGCTATTGAACTCCCGGGAGATGTGGTAAAAGAAAACATTGAAAAGGTGCGAAGGGAATGGGTGGAGTTGTTTGGGTGGCTCCAAGGGGTTTATTAAGATTAAAAAATCACCAAGAAATCATCGTGATTACACAGTGCATGTTGAGGCACTCGGTGAAAAGAGAAAGCCTGTACTTTTCTGTTGGCATTTCACGTCTATACTTAACGTTTGTTTTAATTTAACGTCTACGAGAGGGCTTGTGTTGGCTCATACGCCAGTGGACGATTTAACACCTCTTCCAATGACCGCCTGTTTCGACGACTACCTACTGATGTTTTTTGTACGCTGGGTTATTCAGTTTTATTTGGCTTTCGGGGGGAGTAATTGATGGTTATGGGTTACTCTCGACGTCGGCAGGAGATCGGTGCAATTGTAGCGGCTTCTTTTTTTGGATGGGGATTATTGAACGGAGAGTTTGGACAAATTCCGCTTGGATTGAGGGAACAATCTCATCTATTCTGATGATCTTGACGGGCGTTTTTCAAATTTTTTTTATGGTGTCAGTGTACGGAGAAGAAATTCTAGACGAAGTTCATTAACTATTAAGAAGTGATAGAATTGAATATCGCCAAATAGGAACGTCTAAAAAACGTTATCTAAAAAACTTCGTTAAAAAAACCTGGTTAAATTCAACTTGGGAAAGTGAACTTTCGGTTTATTGAATTTTTGTCCAATTGAAGTCCGTCAATTAAACCTTTCGGTTATCTTGTCTTTTGCGTGTTTAAGTTGATGATGTTTGACTTGATGCTGCTTATTCTGGATACGATGTTTTGCTTTGTAGTTTGTTCGGTTTTTTTTCATTTCTGCTTCCGAATGAACACTTTGTAATCGTTTAAATTTAGGTTTCCAGATTTTTGTGTCAGGGTAACTAAATATGGTCCAGAAATCCGAATAGGCGAATTTTCGAAGTTGTCTGTATATTTGTAGGTGTGCGGACCTTTTTCAATTTTTTTCGCATTTTTCTTTATACATTAAAAGTTTAAAAGTTTCTTTCAAGTTTTTTGATGTTTGGGTTGTTATTTTTTTTCCCCAATTTTTTTTTGTTACCAAGTTGTTTTGACCACATTTTTCTGACGAAGTTTTAAAAGGAGGTTTTTTAGACTTGGACCCCGCCAAATGAATGTATCTTGATCGTTAATAAATGATTCACCTGACCGTAAAAAATTGAGATGATTAAATTATTTGTTAATATTTTAACTATAGGGGAAGCGGCGCCTGTACCGCCCAGGGTGTAATAATACCACTCACCCACTTATCTCCGCAACCGCAAATATTTTTCTTACTTTCTCTATTTCAATCTAGAGGATGTAATGTCAGAAAGTATTTCCAATAAAAATTTGACACTTGACCTTTTTTAATTGAAAAAATCATCCTTCGACATTATTAGCTCCGTAGAACGTAAAATTCTTGGACGAGTACGTAAGATTTTTACTAAAGAGAGAGATTTCACGTCGTCGCCGCATAGTCAAAAGGACGTAAGTGTCATCATTTCGATTTTTTTTTAAGCCAAAGACTCGTATGTTTTTTTTTAATCGTGAAATTGAATTTACCAACTTTTTTCAACGTTTTTCACCAATTAATTTTGATGACTAACGGACGTATCTTCAAGTAATGAGAACAAAAGGGGTGTATCTCCAGAACATACGCCCCTGCACCTCTAGTCTCTAGGTTGATATTCTAGTGGACTTAGAGCATGAATACGGCAAATGGTCGTAAGTTCAAATATAGTCGCAATCAAAGCGGCGTATCTCCAACACATGCCCTCAACCACTTACCTTCGGGGAGCGCATGCACACCTTCCACAGGTAAAAAAAAAAACACTTTGACACACTCGTATTGGAATGGACTGTAGGATTCAATGAAGAAAGGCTGACGACAGAATTATTGGGGTGGGAAGGTTTGTTAAGAAGAAATTTAAAAGTCTTCATTGGACCTTCGGTCCATTGAACAGTTTGTGATGTATGACGGAATGTGGGAATAACTAGGGAAAATCGCGGACCCGAACGATTTGGCCTCGTATAACTAGAGATGCAAATGCGTCACATGACCCGTCATATGACGGTCATGTGACCGTCATTGACGGTCACATGACGAGGCGTTCATGACGGCTGTCACAATTCCCCCTCCCCCTTCTGTCACCGTCACAACTTGTCAAGAAAAAATGACAGTCATTTTTCATCTATATAGATAAAACTTTATTTTTTTCTCGGTCAATTTTCAGTTGAATTCTTTTTATATTGGCCTAATCCGCATTTTGAAATGGAAATCACGTTTTTTTTCCATCCATATAGATGAAACTATTTTGTTTTATTCATGACCGTCACAAATTGGAAATTAGTTATGACCGTCATTATGCAACTATATAGATGGTTTGACAACAATTTGGTTACAAATGATTTGTGACAATCATTTGTAGTTGGAAAATTTGTGCGTCACATGACCGTCATTTTTGGTCATATGACGTGATCTAAAAAATGACGGTCATTTTGCATCCCTACGTATAACCACAGGAAAATTCATTTATGTCATTAGGCCCGATAAACCGCGATTTAACCGAGCGAAGCGAGGGGCCAGAACGACATAAAATAGCGTTTTCGTGAGAAGACCCGGTAAACCGCGATTCTAACCTCGCTTCGCTCGGTTTGATCGCGGTTTACGGGCCTTCTGACGAAAAATTGCATTCATCACACGGTCCAAAAGTATTTTCTGACGAATGTGGCTTTGTAGGCCGAGCCGAAGGCGAGGCCTATAATCACATTCGTCAGAATAGTATATTTCGTAACGNAATGAAAATAACTAATATCACACGGCGATAAAACCATTATCTGGCGAATACGATTGTAATCCGAGCCGAAGGCTCGGATTATAAAGCCATATTCGCCAGATAATACTTTTATGCCATAGGTGCCCAGAATCACGCGATTCTAACCTCGCTTCGCTCGGTAGAATCGCGGATTCTGGGCCCTATGACATAAAATAGTATACGAAACTCGTGCGTAATGGTGTTTTTTGACTCGTGGGATTATAAAACTCGCCTTCGGCTCGTTTTACAACTTCCCACGAGCCAAAAAACCCATTACGCACTTGTTGCGTAATATACTATTATCGCCTCATGACATAATATACTATTTCTTCTGTTTTCACCTTCAAAATGCTCCTTGTGCCGTAGTTTTCATACGATTTTAGCTTTTTTTTAAATTGTTCGTTACACTCCAAAGAATAAAGTTGAGCATCCGCTTTACTTTACTCGCAATAGATCACGAACAAATGAATTTTGAATTTCATAAATTTTATGAAATTCAAAATTCATTTATCAAATCGAATTCTCTCACCCCAGCAGATCCTAGTTGTAGGAATATTACCGATTTTACATAATTTAAACTACGCAAAACCTCTTCAAAAATAAACGAAGCAAAACTTACAGCTTTGAGACAATCATTGCGCGTCATAAAAAATTTCATTCTTAAAAGTTCATTTGAATTTTGATTATCTCTGCGCCACTTGTTGCGTCGAACACTCGGTAGATTCCTGAACTACAACCAACCGAAGGGTTCCTCTGCCGGCAGTGTATCGACAATGGTTTTCAGCATTCGGCAAATAACCATTAAATTTCTTACATTATCTATGGTTGATACGAATTCCCCTTCTATTCACCACTCACTCTCCCCTCTCTCAGGATTCCTCTTCAAAAACAAACATGGCGACCTGCCAAAGTACTCATCGTGTTGACAATTGACCTGAACAAATCAATCGTTGAATAGTATTGTGATAACGCTCAGTAGTAGTAATTTTTCAAAACCATGAATCTTGGACTGGGAAGTACTCTACTGCCAGGCGATCCTCGTCTAATCGATCACATCGTCGGCGAGGTCAAGTCTCAGGGAATTTTCGATCAATTCAGAAAGGAGTGCATCGCTGACGTTGATACGAAGGTGAGATACGCAAACTTCAAATTCACCTTTTCCTCAGTATTCTCGGAATTTTTGTCTACAATTATCCCATAAATGTGACGAACAAATTTTAATCGTTGGCTGACCTTAATGGTGACACACCTAACCTTGAAATTAATTCTCCGTTTGCATGAAATTTTTTTTCACTACTATGATTGTTCTCACCTTGAAATCATCCGGGAGTGGTTTTCACATAGGGTAGGACGGGGTAAAATTGACACTCTTGACTTTTTTTTTAAATGTTCATAACTCAGGAACAAATTTATTTCATCTGATTATTGCGTCTGACTGATAATTTTCATTTTCAAAATGTTTGTTGAATTCCAAAGAGTCAAGGTATGGATCATGGAAAAATTGAATAAATGTTTTGTTTTCGTTTATTGCTCCTTTCCTATCGATTTATCAATGTTTCATTTTTTTCCAATTTTTTTCATGATCCGTTCAATGGATCGTAAAATGGATGCACAACATTTTGAAAAAAAAAATCTCAATCGGACGAAAACTGAGACACTTGAACGATTTTAAAAGTAAAAACGAAAAACGTTTTTCAGTGATTCACGGGGAAAAATCGATTGGGCTCGTGATTTTTCCAACTTTTTAACATATCCTATCATATATAAAAATTCGCGCAATGCATTTCTAATTCTAACGAGGACCTTCAAATTTCACCGCGCACTCCCCTTAAGATCCATCTCTTCATCAAACCTTCGAAAAAAATCAATTTCAATTTGATACGATCTCAAAATGAAACTTATGGAAATCTCAACTTGAAATTTTCGAAAGTCTCACGTTATGATTTTCGAATGCCTCAAGTTGAAACTTTCGAATGTCTCAAGTTAAGATTTTCGAAAGTCTCAGCTTAAGACATTCGAAACTCAATTTACGACTTGAAAATCTCAATTTCATCCTCTCCAAAGTCTCAATTTAAGGATATTTAAGTACTTCGTTCAAATTAGCAACTTTTTTCAAGCAAGATTTCAGTTTTGCCGAAAATCTTGCCATTCCCATATTTTTTCGGATTTGTCAGTGTTGAATACATTTTTTCGGGAATTTCTTCAGTGAATATTGTGAACAATAATTTATTCAATTTCACACTTGACTCTCGTTGATCCCACTTCTAATGATCATACGCCTTTTAATTTGATTGCTTGCAATTATCTGTCCGGAAACTTGTTTTTTAATATTGTTTTTCATCTTGCAAAACTTGTTTTTGAATATTGCATAACTTTGTTATGCAATGCAATTAACTTGTTTTTTAATATTGCGAAAAAACTAGAAAGTATAACGAACAAAGTCATATACGGTTATGTATACGAGAAACCGCTTCAAAACTGAACTATTGGATTGAAGATGGGAGTATACAGCTCTTATGAACGCAATGTATTAAATTTCATTTTTTCAACAATCTTTTTCTCGAAAAAATGTTGAAAACTAAAGTTGATGTTGCGCCTAAAAAATACTCTTTGTCAATTCTATAAACTGTGAAGAGAATTACTTGGATGCCCCTAAGATTTTTGAAATCTCAAAATAAGGATTTTTTTCTGGGTGAACATTTTACTCCCCTCTGCAATAAACCTCCTCAACCCCAATGAATTTGTTCACAGCCAGCGTATCAAAACCTGCGAACCCGCGTGGAGAGCTCAGTGAACTCGTTCCTCTACAAACAGCGTTGGCGAGCGGACCTGAACAAGAATCAACTCCGCGAAACCCTCCGCAAACACATCTCCGATGGCCCCTACCTGGACACTGGAGTAGAGCGAATCGTCGATCAAGTGGTCAACCCCAAGATCTACTCAGTGTTCATGCCCCAAGTAGAGGACGTCGTGCACGAATTCCTGGGACTGGAGAAGCCCAAACGTGAGAAAAATGGTGCCTGTGGGTTTAAGGACCTACTACCCAAGGATCTAGACCCAGTGTCACCTGAATCAGACAAGAACAGTCTCAAGGACATCTCCCTGGACTCAGTGGATGCAAATCTGACAGTACCTGGTGAGGAAGAGGGGCCGAGCATGAAGAGAGAACCCGAGGAGTCTGAAGTCAAGATTGAAGTGAAGACAGAGGACATCTCTCACCTGGAGAATGACTTCAGCAATGGGCGAATGGAGGAGGACGCTGAGAGGTCTCTGGGGGAGCCAATGGACCTCGAGGGAAACACGCCACCCCCTCCTGGGTTGAACGACTCAGCACAATCAGAGGAGAAAGAGGAGGAGGAAGAGGACAGCCCTGTCTTCGAGCCAATTGACATAATGAACCTGAACGAGTCCAACATCTCCAACGATTCCCATCTCTCCGGGATCTCTGAACTCACGAGCCACAGGTCAAGAAGTCCTGACTTCTCAAACGACTTCTCTCGCGATAACTTTGACTTCTCGAATCAAGACTCACAATTGAGTAAAGTCTCCTCAGACTCTCGATTATCCATCGTCACTGATTTTGGATCCTCCAATCAGCCAACGACTCCAGTCCCAGATTTACCGAAGGACGATAGCAGTAAAGACAAATTCTCGAAGGATAATTTCAAGGAGATTCGAGGGGAGGGGGATGATCCCAAGGATAATAAAGTGGATGGTAATAAGCACAAGGAGAATTTGTTGGAGATGAAGGATGGGAGTGACACGAGAAGCTCGAAGACAAATCTGTCCTCGAAGGAGTCGTCTCGTGACGGTATGGAGAGTGTCAAGGAGAAGTCTGAGCATAAGTCGAAGGAGAAGATTCGTGAGTCTGGGAAGTCGAAGTCCTCGAAGGCGAGGTCGGAGTCTAGGGAGTCCAGGAGTCACAGGGATCGAGAGAAAGATAAAAAGAAGTTTTCTCATAGTGAGAGCAAACCTGAGAGCTCTGACAAACCGAGATCAAGAGATAAATCTGAAAACTCCAGGGATTCTGCTGAGAAACTCAAGGAGACGAGGGAGAGTAAAGACGCGAAAGAGAGTAAAGACACTCCAACAAAGCTGAAGGAAGAAAAACCGAAAGAGTCCCCCAGTAAAGAAGGAAAAGACCTGAAGGATATTTACAAAGAAAAGATTCGAGAACTGAGGGAAAAGAAGGAGTTGACAGAAAAAGAGAAGCTGAACAACGAGAAAAAAGAGAGTAAAGAGTCCTCCAAGGACGCCAAGCCCTCCAGGGACTCCAAAGAGAAACGAGATTCCCCAAGAGATAAAGAAAAACACAGGAGCTCTTCCTCTAGAACGCACAGCTCGAGCCGACACGAGAGCAGATCCTCAAAGTCATCAAGAGACGATTCAAAATCCTCCAAAAATGATAGAGACAAAACGAAACGTGACGATAGCCATCGTTCCAAGAATGGGAAGAGCAAAGCAGAGTCAGAATCGAATGACAAATCTGACAAATCAGAGTCTAAAAAATCCTCGAAGCCTGACAAAGATGAGAAATCAGAGGGCAGACAGGACTCGAAGTCCACCCAAAAGTCCACCAAGAGGGACTCTAAATCAGACTCCAAGTCCTCTGAAAGATCAGAGAAACGTGAGGACAAAGAGGGGAAAGATAAACGACGAAAGGACGAGAAGAAATCAAAATCGAAGGACGATCACTCGAGTCTGCGGAAGGGTTCCAACGATCGCAGGTCATCTGATCGAGATGGCTCCAGCGGCTCCAGTGGCAGAGGCTCCCAGAAGAGCTCCTCCAGCCCCAGTACCTCATCCTCGAAGCCCTCATCCTCCTCATTAGGAAAAGACTCGAGTACCAATAGCAACTCAAGCAGCGAAACGTCAGATGGCATCGACGAGACACAAACCGAGGAATTCAAGCCTTCAGACCCTGAAGTACCTGAAATAACAGAATCAAAACCTGAAATTGAAGAGAAAAAACCTGAGACTGACGAACCCGAAGGCACGATAATTCCCAAACGAGTTGATCCAGGTCAGTCTGAGATAAGTCTTCCACTGAAGAAACGCCCGCTCCAGAGTGAGGACCTTTCTTCCCAGCCTAACGAACGCCCAATGAAGAAACCCAAGTTCGCCAGGAATTTCGCAGAAGCTAAGAAACTGATGAAGATCAGAAAGAAAATCGAGAAGGATCACTTGAAGAGTCAGTCATCAGTGGACAGCACATCTCCAGTGTCTGAACTCTCGGAGGTATCCGAAGCTGAGGGCGAAATACAGCCTCCAGTGCCTGACGAGGAACGAGTGCAAATAATCGAAGTAAAAACTGACGACGAGGGCGAGCCATACCCTGGGTCAAATTGCGATTTGAAGCTGGATGAGAACTCCAAGGTAATCCTGACAGGAGACGAAATACTGAACACTGAGATTGTTGCTGAGCTCAAGATAAAATCAAGACTATCAGAAATGGAATTATCGATAAGACAATCACTGACTGAGATGATCTCTGATAAGACTCACGAGGACAATGGAAAAAATGTTGAGAATGTTTCGACCCCTGAGGAGACACCAGGCCCTTCGCAGAGTGAACCATCAGAGGCTGACAATTCCGTTGAAAAAATTGAATTGAAATCTGATGTTAGAGTGGAAGAGGAAATCGAATCAAAGGAGGAGCAGGCAAAGCCTGAAAATCCAGGGGAGACTGTCAGCAGAAGCTCAATAAAGCCACCAAAAGGAGAACAAAAGGAAAAAGAAGAACAGGAGCAGAAGCCTCTGGACCCTCCAGAAATGCTCCCAACTCCTGGAACTTCATCTAAAAACCGAGAGCTCTCAGACGACGAAGAGGACTGTCGCTACTTCCTGGTGGACAACGAAAGACTGAACAGATTCACTCAATTCATGAACTCCCTGGGTCTCAGGGAGGATTCTCCCAGTCTTCCCATCCTAGAAAAGCAGCCCCACCCCTCGGTGGAGACCCCAGGACCCAGGACGATGGCTCCACCCCTGCCCAAACGAAAGTACTCAACGAGCCCCTTATCAGACATTCTCCTTAATAACTCCAACAACAACAACGATGGCCACAAACTGGAGGCAACGATATACCAAGGGGAAGGACAAACAGCCACGAAGAAGAAGAAAATGGGAAGGCCGAGGAAGCAGAGGCCCAGTGTCAATTCTCCAAGCCCCCAGATGATGAACGGCGAGAACTTTGTACTGCCCATGAGTCCGGAGAGCGATGCCTCAGCCACCAGCGACAAAACTCCAAGCTCACTGAAGGACGAACGCAATCGCTCACGAGGCAGCAATCAACGTTACACCAGTGATGATTTGTACAAGCCACGTCCACTCTTCGCCAGTTCCTCGAGGAGGAGCAGAAGGTCCAATCCATAGCTGCTAGTGCGTCAGGGGGTATGGAGACCACCAATTGTCGTCTAATATCGTAATTAATCATGATAATAATGACTTTATATTTTTTTACGAAGAAAATCACCTTCGGTTTATCGTTTTGCTATTTGCGTAGGGATGTTGTACATAAATAGATAGATGAATAGTTGAAAAATCGAGGACTGAGGAAATTTATAGGTAGGAATAGTTAGTATGGAAAATTTCGATACAGGGTGTCCCAAAATTGATCGGATGTGTCGGGAGGGTAGCTCGGGGGATTATTTGGACATGAAAACTAATGAAGTTGTTGTCTCCTGCGCTTCGGGAAGGGAAAACTAATATGAGTTTTAAAAGTCGCGGGCTATTGTAGGGAAATTTTGCATATATTAAATACCGATTATATATATCTAAAAACGAATAATTAGTGCAAAAAAATTAATTGTTTACTGTTCGTTTGTCCCATAGACGCTTAAAATGTTTAGAATAGTCCGGGATCCTATTCTAAACATTTTAATTACATTTTTTATAGTGTTACAGGCTAGTTTTTTTCAATTCGACTCCTACACAGCTAATTTCGTTTTCTTTAATATAAAAAATTGTACCATTCATGTAAAATAGTTCTGAAAGAATCGAGAATATATTTTAAATATTTTGAGGATCATTTTTCTGCCTATTTTTCATGAATGGTGCAATTTTTTAAATAAAAAAAAATCGAAAATTGTTGTATAGGTGTCGAATTTCAAAAAACCAACTCGTAATGGCTATTGTACTTTTTTTTTAATTTTGAAAAAATCTATGTAGCTCAAAAATTAGAGTCCGTGGACTATTTTCAACACTTCAAGCGTCAGCGGGGCAAACGAACATGTAACATTCATTATTTAAAATTTACGTATCAACATTGATCGGTAAACAACGAATTAATTAAACAATCGCGAATGAAAAAAAAAGGTTTTTGTCATTAAATTTTTCATTTTTTCCCTTCTCAGAAAAAAACAAAATTCAGTTACCATTTTCTAAAATAAAAGTCCAAACGCAATTCCACATGGAAAAAATTAGTAAGAAAAATTAATTTTAAAGGGACGAATTCGCCGAGGAATAATTGACGCGGAAAAATTTCCAAAAATTTTTCAATGGGGAAAAAAACTGAAGAAAATCTACGTGGGAAAAATTTCCGGAAATTTTTCAATGAAAAAAAAAACTCCGGCCACCGTAAATTCCACTCTAATATCCTGCGAATTTTAAGACTCACAGTAGTCTCCTCTCAAGGACTTATTCGTCAACAAAGCAAAAATCCACCGTAAATCACCCTCTCCTTGAAAATTCATATCTCCTCTCTCACTTCGCATGGAGGAATGAAAATGATGGCAATCGATTGGGCATTTAACGCACAATGATCGCAAAAAAATTGTTCTTCTATCATCATGTCCAGGTGAGCAAAACCGTAATAAATTTCAAAGCGGCGTCAGTCATTTGCTTCCTAAATACAATGTGAACCCAAAAATCAAAGTCAACATAAAAAATTCATATTTCCACTCCTATTTAATATCGAGGAATTGAATTGATTAAAATCGATTGGACATTCAATGCCATCATCCCTCCGGCTTAAATGGGAAACGGGGTATCTCTATCTATCGGGGAATAGCGTTTGATCGGCTGTTATTTATTTCTTAATAACTTATAAACAAAGCGTCGGAGACAAAAATCTCATTAAAGTTTTCGTCTCCAAATAGCCCCCCCCCCCCCAAGCTATTCTCACGATATGTCAGATCCGTTTTGGGACACCCTGTAGAATGTTCAATGGAAGGGTATCATGGCGGGGTGCCAAAAATGCAAAGATAATGCAGACAAAAATCTCTTAAAATTTAGGTTTAAGGCTGTCACATGTTGAACCCATTCATAAAATTTTAGATGGTTGATGGAAACCGCTCACGACATAATTTAATAGCATTTTTGGAATTTAATGTAGACTCTTATGGAAAAATGCAGTTTCTTCACAAAAAAATGACAAAACCTTGAAGCTTTGTAAGCTATTGTTTTTTAGTGTTATGAACATGTTATGCATTTGAAAAATGTTGTGTTAATTGATTAAAAATTGTCATTGACAAATTGACATTTTTTGTTCTCATGGAAGGGTTGTGATGCCCCTAAAGCTGTACCAGAAAATTTTGGTAAATTTTGAGGAAATCAAACTTGAAATATCTCCTAGTTTGAATTTTTAGGCCGAACAAATTATGCCATAATACCCTTAAAGGAAAAGTTCTACGGAAAAACAAAAGTTAGAGAATTTTTTCGTAAGCAGGCCAAAAATTTCTGTGAAATACTCTTCTATGGGGAATTCTTCATAGGACTTCCGTAGGAGATCTCTCAGGGGATTTTGCAGAAAAACATAAACTTACAATTACATAAACTTATCAAATTTAGCACCAGAATTGCCATAAAATATTACAGTAATAAATCCTACGTGGAATTGCTCATAAAACTTTTCTATAAAAACTGTCTATTTAAAAAATGAGATTCGAGAAATTTGTTGTACATATGAAGAATCCTTTATACACTTTTTTTCCGGGAACTCTAAATTTCTACAGATCTTCATGTTGCGGGAATTCTAGACGAAATGTTCGAATTCTCCTAGGATTGCATTATGAAATTTTTTTCATGCGTAACAGTTTACCTCCTGTCATGCAGATATACGTAATAATTATCTATAAAAATTATGGTAATGGTCAATAAAGAGATTTTTTATTCGATTTCACAAAATTGATAGTTTCTTAATCGACTTCGGGGGTACAAACAGGTATTACTCTAGGGAGCTTAGTGTCAGCCAGAAACCAGTTTCGCTTGTCGTGACGAGATTTCTGCGGCTGAACTTAATTGGCACTGCGGTCTTATCGTTAATTTCTATTTTGTGGTGCAGTAAAAACGAAATTACACCGATCTTCGTCTGCAGCAGGGCAAACTTCATTCCTGTGCATTATAAAAATAATGTGAATATGATAATTATGGGAATGGTGATGAGTATGAATATAATTATGGTAATGAATAGAAAAAATGAGGGAATACACTTGGAAATTTTAGAACTTATAGGTATCAAGAAATTAAATAAACAAAATGAGCCTTTAAACGTGCTCTTATGGAGTTATGATGATATTAAACATTTTACCACCCCCCCCCTACTCCCTAGGGGATCCAAAAATTTGGAAAAAATGGCGGGGAAAAACAATTGCATCTACTGTTGAAAAATTTTCGCTGAAATTTCCGGTACACTTTTACGAAATTTTGATCCCACTTTAGTTCCACTGAAATTTAAAGGAATTTCCTATGCGAAAATTCAGAATTTCATGGAAAAATAAACAAGAGCTGAAAATTTCAGTACAATTACTCCATGAAAGTCAATCCACTCCTTTGGGCTTAATCCAAACGACTTCGTCAATTTTTTTATTATTTGGACATTAATAACTTCGCCAATTCGAATCGGCTGATATCCGCAGAGGCCAATTACTAAAGAATAATTTAATGAAAATTAAGCGTAATTTGACACTGAATATTCTGCTTTCATTAACAATTCAAATACGTAGAGAAATTCTCGAGTTAATGCTGCTCAAAATTTTGGAATTTCATTGAATTTTCAGTGAATGACAAAAAGAATTTGTTTTTATCAAACAGGAATGACACCCTCAATACGACACAATCGAAGCATTACTTGATTTAAAAGACTCACCAAGGCAACCTCGAGGACCCTCACCAAAGGATAAAAACGTGTGAGTGTGTCTCTTCGCTTTATTCTCGTCGTTGAATCTCTCGGGATCGAATGTGTCTGGTGATGGATAATACTGAGGATCGTGATGAATTGCGTAAACGGGGATAACTACTCGCATACCCGCTGGTAACTCCACATCTGTTTCCGGAATTTTGTAAGGATATTCACACCTTCTGGAGAGGAGTGGAGCTAAGGGATACTTCCTCAGGGTTTCTAAGACGCGAGGAAGTCTCTTTGAATATTTTTATTCGGATGATTGTTAGTTATTTTGATGAAGATTATGATGATTGTTATTGTTATTAGTATTATTATTTTTTTACTCATAAATGAGATCGCTGAACGATCTCATTATTATTATTATTATTATTATTATTATTATTATTAAGAATAATTATTAAGAATTATTAAGAATAATAATAATAATGGAAAAACAAAAGTTAGAAAATTTTATTTTATTTATTTATTTTATTTTGAGTTAATAATAATAATCAAGAATTATTATTATTATTGAATTTGTTATTAGTTTTGGTGTAACAACGATCTGCTAAGGACAACCCAACAATTAGTACATGATTTATTCAATCTACAAAAGCAATACAAAACGTATATTCAACAAGTTACAAATTTGAGTAAAGAAGTTTAAGACGAGGTGTTATATTACTACTAGCGGCGTAATTTCTATTTGGGAAAAGTAAGCAAACATGAGAGTATCGCTTGAGTGATTACATTACCTAGAAGGACTTTATCGAGATACTTGATGTCTTGCACGGCTTCGTACGTCAATTTCCCATCTGTGCCCACAATAGCATCGAGGATTTCTTCTCTAACTTTCGTTTGAATCTCTGGATTCAGCGCCAACTCGTATAAACAAAAGGCTATTGTGGTGGAAGACGTCTCGTGCCCAGCGACGAAGAACACGAACGCCTGTGCCGCAATAATATTCTCGTCCAGAACTGCAGAACATTAATGAGGTGAAAAGAAAGAGGTGACAGCGAGTATGTGATAGTGAGGATGTGGCTGAAAATTTTCTACTAAGGAGTGTGTTTATCCTTTTCTGTTAATGGGCGCGTTTCGCAATCGACGTAGTAGCAGCAGCAGTACTGCAACCCTATCTAATTTTGCTTTACTGCAGCTACGGTAGTTGATTCCGAAACGCACCCAATATAGTATATTTCGTCATTTTATTATTATTAGAATTGACTTGGTTGGCTTCCGGATGGATGCCGCGTTGAGTTTCAGCATTGCGCCGACGTTTCGCAAACATTGCAGTCTGCATCTTCAGGGCTATGAGCTCCGATTCTGAGCTCCGATGTGTGGGGGCAGTCCTTATATACCTTCCCTTNCTTATGGTGGTGGGGGAAGGGGGGGGGGGGGCAGCCAATCATATGTTTTTAATTGACCAGCTGATCAATTAAAAACATATGATTGGCTGACCCCCCCCCCTTCCCCTTCCCCCACCACCACAAGGGAAGGTATATAAGGACTGCCCCCACACCTCGGAGAGTGACGTAATTGGCAAAATTCAAGTATTTCAACTTTTTTTTCTCGAAAATTCGTTATTTCGAGCATCTAAAGATTGGAAAAATTAAAAAAAAACACTTATAGATGGTGAAAAATTTTGCCCCCTAATAAATCGAAATCGGATCAGTAGAACTCGAGTTATTGTAAAAAAACGGAACAAGTTGAAAAGAATCATATTTCCGAACTGGGCTGTCAAAAAAATCTGAAAAAATTTGAGAGATAGTTTTACCTTAGGCGTTGACTCATTTGGCATGGAATACCCCATATATATGTTACATATAATTCCTTTAAATTGTTTTGGGCCGTGTTTAGGTCAGTATCACTAATCAAATACAAAAAATGTAACTAGTTCAATGACGGAATGTTATAGCTGTCTGTTTACATCTTCAGATGACAGCGGAAAATGAATTTTCGATGAACTTTTTGTCGGTTATTTTTCAATTTTGGGTAAAAATGCACCTGAAGAGGAATGTTTTGTGCATTTAAAACGTAGTGCAATTGAACTAGTTATATTTTTGTATTTGATTACGGCTGCTGACCTAAACATGGCTCAAAAGAATTTAAATAATTTGAAAACATATGGTCGAGAACGTCTATTTTATTTACATATAATCACCGGTATATATTTTTCCCATACGGGCAGCCGAAGCCGAAGACACGGGTTGCATTCATATGAGCTAGAAAAGTTTATTTAGGCCGTGTGGTGAGCAATATTTTTTGTCAAAACGGCTATAAGCAGTGATTTAGAGACACGTCGAAGTGCGTAGCGTCCGTGAACCGCTGCTTTACGGTAGGAATGACAAAAAATTGATGGCAGGTTTACGCGTGGTTCAATTTGGGTGGTTTGATTTATTCTTATGGACTAAATGAACTCGCTTGAGCAGTTTTCAAGATATTCAATGAGATCAATTTACATACGGTGTTGGAAATCTCTGGAATTAACCATCCGATTCAGCTCTTCAATACGAACCATTGCAAGCATAAGAGTTAAATTTCGAGTAAATTAGGGTGTGCACAGGGATTCTGACCGAAAAAAAAAGAAACATGGAAATATCTCCAAAAATTTATATGGAGAAGAATATTTTAAAAAATTGAAATGGATTGAGTAGTCTTTAAAATATAAAAGAAAAAATTTGGGTACAAAGTTGAATATCTCCTAAACTGACCATCCGATTCAGCCCATCGTCAATATACGGAATATTTTTGTGCTTCTTCCCAAATCGGAGTTAATATGTCGATTTTTTCAAACTTCAGAGTGCAAACAAGGATTCTGAGCGAAAAATGGAAATATCTCGGAAAATTTGTTCGAAAGTACGGCTATGCATATTTTGATTGACGGAGATAGAAAACATCGAGACGAATATTGAAAAAAAATTTAATTCCATTCGGTAGTTTTCGAGATATTTGCGAAAAACGATTTAAGAACGAACGGTGATTTCTCACAATTTGGGGTGAAAATGAGCACAGAGTTAGCGTTTATTATACCGTATAATCTGACAAGGATTGATTTAAAAAAAAATTATTTTAACCTTGTAATAATTCAATTTTTTAAACGTTGACCACCAAAAGGTCACGCGCACATACACACATGTCCATAAAAATTCGTATTCTTACGTTTCAGACCATTCTACGTCATTTCCAAGCTAAATTAGAAAATCTAAAAATAAAATGATCCATTCGGAAGCAAAAATAACAGACGCCATTCGGTGTCTATTTGTTGAAAATTTTCTCAACTATATATGCAAACACATTCAATCATTCAAGTTCATCTCGAGGAGCTACTCACTCGGTGATCAAATGAATTCGAAATCACGTGAAATAATTCAATTTATCGAAATCACTGACAGCAATGCAAGTGATTTCAACTCTTCGAAAAAGTATTGGAATTAATTTTTGAAATCACGCTGAAAGCGTTCGGAATCAACGAAATTAATCAAAATCAATGAAGCTAGAAGCCGAAATCATCGGCGCAGTGCGAATTATGCGAGCGATTCGGGATTTAGTTCGTAATGCTCAGAAATTAATTTTTTTTCGTCAATTATTCAAGAAGAGATGGAGTGGAAGCTAGCCGAAAATTCGTTTGCCGAAAATAGGAAAGCAGTGGTTCTCACGCTCGACCGAGTTTCCACCCTTGGAAGATGATTTAGCAGATTATTAAAGGCCGACAAAACTTGACAAAACTAATATCTATTAGCGTATTGAGTGCAAGACAATTAACAATTAACCATTTGTTTATTGTAGTTAATAATAATATGTGGATTTTGGGATTTTGGGGTTCTAGAGGTGACAAAACTCTGAAATTGCGAGGGTACCTTCAGAGGACCCCCACAGACTTTTGTCACCCCACAAATGTCAAAAAAAATATCAATTGACATTTTCCATTGATTTTTTTAAAAGTTAATTTTCTGCTAACCTGATTACTTGCATTCTAATTATGACAAAA